TTATTTATTTATTTATTTATTTATTTATTTACCTAAATGAAAAGAAAATCTCTCGTATTATATTAAATGAATAATATCATCATCAATAAAATAATATATTTCAAAATAAGAACAAAAAAAAAAAACATAAAAACGATTTTGATTGACCAAGAAAAAAACGACGAAATACATTGTAAATGATGATTACTGTAACTAGTCATGCGTTTAGTTATTCATGCTAGCGAAAAGTAATCGGACGAAAAAATAGAAAAAACGCGTCTTCTCATCTATTTTCGTGATGAATAGATAATGAGAAAAATGATACAAATATTTCTCTTATGAATAACATATCCAGACAGAAATATGTCAACCGTTTATTTAGCTAACTTCGTTTTCTAAAAACATGTTTTTTATCGTATGTTTTGATGTTCTTTTTTTAGTTTGTCATAATTGACTATGTTATTTTAACTAAATAATTTATTTATTAACCAATATTTTTTATTTATTATTTTCAATATTCGATTCCATTTAAATTCAAATTTTTTTCCATTTAAATTCCCTCCATATTTTATCGTATTTCAAATGAATAAAAAAAAATTCTTTTTTTTTAATTTTTATTTAAAGACATTTTAGAAAAAAAATCAAATTGAAATGGAAAAGGTTGATAAAAAAGAAGAAGAAACATGTTATGCATATGTTGATGCTGAAATGGCTCAATTTGAAGAAGTTGCTGGAACATGTTCAAATAAAGATAATGAGAAGGAATTATGTTGTACAGTAAGAAGTGTAACTATTGGTTTAATATTTGTCATTGGAATGTCTTATCTTCATCAATGGGGAAATTTTCAAAAAATGGCTCCTTTTATATCATCAGTTTTAGTTATTGTTGTTGCTTATCCATTAGGATATCTGTGGCAATTAATTGTACCAAAGTCCAAACCATTTACATTAAAAGAACATGGTTTTATATTAGTTATGGCTAATGTTGCTTATATGTATAATTCTGTATTTATTTATGCAACATTAACAACATTAAAAGTACTTGAAAATGAAAAAGTTAATTTTGCATATTATTTCTTTTTTGTTCTTTCAATTCAATTTCTTGGATTTGGTCTTGCAGGTATATATTTACTGAAATAAAGATATTATTTAATATAAATAAAAAAAATTTAATTTTTTCTATAAAGGTATTCTTCGTCGATTTTTGGTTTGGCCATGTGAAGTAATATGGCCCCAAAATTTACCATTAATAGCTGTATTACGTACATTTCATGAACGTCAATCAAGTGTAACAGAAACATCATATGGAAATCAAAATCAAAGTTTAAAAAAACGTTTAATGAATAATCGTTTATTATTTTTTATATTAATATCATTAATATCATTTATATATGAATGGTTTCCATTATATATAATGCCAATATTAGCATATTTTTCTTGGATGTGTTGGATAAGTCCAAATAATAATGCGTTAGCACAATTAACAGCAGTACGTGGTCTTGCTATTGCTGGTGGAGGTTTAACATTAGATTGGTATCAAGTAACACGATATTTAGGTTCACCATTAATATTACCTCGTTGGGCATTAATTAATATAGCATTTGGTTTTGTATTAATTATATGGTTTATTGTTCCTATTGTATATGGATCAAATGTTCGATCATTTACAACATATCCAATAGGTGGAGTTGTATCAACTGAATTTACAGCATTAAGTTTAGTTACAGCATTTACATCATTTGCAAGTATAACAGCTGTTTTTGTTCATACATTATTATTTCATGGTGTTGATATATGGCAACAATTTCGAACAAAAACTTTAGCAAATATGGGTAATGACATGCATGCTAGAATGATATCAATTTATCCAACAGTACCTGATTGGTGGTATTTAGAATTATTTGCATTAGCATTAATTGTAGCATGTGTTACATGTGATCATGCTGGATGGCTAAAGTGGTATTATGTTTTATTATCATTATTTATAGGAGCTTTATTTACATTACCATTTGGATTAGTTTCATCAATAACAGGACAATTATTACACAATTTATCTGTTTATTATTTATGTTTATTAATTGGACAATCATTATCATTGCAAACATCAGCTAAAGAAATCTATACATTTATAGCACTTGGTTATATTGTTTTTGTTCAAACATTAGTTTTAATTCAAGATATGAAATTAGCTCATTATATTAAAATAGGCCCACGTTCATTATTTGCTGCTCAATGTCTTGCTGGTTTTGTATGTTCAACATTTTCAATTGGAATTCGTTATATGTATATTAATAAAGGTTATCAAACAAGTAATTGGTCAATATTTAATAATACGAAACTTGGCTGGACACTTTTAAATGATTATAATGGATTTTTTAATGGAACTAATTTATCAAATAGAGATTTATTATGGGCTTTTCTTGTTGGAGCATTTATACCAATTCCTGGATGGATATTATCAAGATTTCAACGTTTTCATTGGTTAAATAAATTACATTGGCCATTAATATTTGTAACTATTGGTTGGATGCCATCGATTGTTCCAGCAGGTGCTTTATTTACCTGGCTTTTAATTGGTTTAATTGTTTATTTTTCATTTGGAAAATATAGTTGGAGACAACGTCATGTTTATTTAGTTTCAGCTGGACTTGATCTTGGTCTTAATATAACAATAATTATTGTTAGTACAGCATTAGTTAATAAAAGTGTTCTTTTTCCACAATGGTGGGGAAATCAAAATACAACTGTTTATGATAGTTGTCAAAGAGCTGTTCAAACTTGGTAATACTAAACACTTTTTTCTCTTTCTGAATTTTTGAATCATTGAATAAACATTTCTTTTTTTTTTCTTCTAAATAATTATTTATTTATTTATTTATTTATATAATAAAAATATGATATGAAAAAAAAACAGTTAATTTACTGTTGCAACAAGAAGAACAAAATAGTTTTCATTAGTATTGTCATAAAAACCTCGATTTTCAAGATAAAATGAAATATTATAATATCTTCCTCCAATAACATCAATTTGTTGAAATAAATAAGTCATTCCAACTTTTGTTTCATCATTATAATAAAAGTCTCCCGAATAAGGTATATCAAATAAAATATCACTTGTTGAACTTCGTGTATTTGATAAAATGCATTGAGAATAATATTTATTTAAATAATTTGATTCAAAATCTCCATCTTTAATTAGATTTTTATTATCTGTTGTATCAACAAATGAGATTTTATCTAATGACCAAGATTTAAAATCATGACGAAAACCAAATATTAAAGATACTGTTTTTGAAATAACACTTGGACGATAAAAATAACTATGAAATTTATATGGAAATGGTTCCGCATTTGATATATAAAATATTGCTTTTGTTTTGCTTTCTTGTACACAGTCATTTCCTGTATAGTCTATTTTATATAAATAGAAAAAAAAAACAGGACGTTTTTATTTATTTATTATATTTTTTATTTATTTATCAATATACTTTTTGAAATATTTTTTGTATTTTGATCATCAGATTCTCCTATAAATAAATAAATAAATAAATAAATTTATTTTTATTTTAAATATATAAATAAAAGAAAAAAAACCTGGGTTTCTTCCAGTTGTGTAAACAATCGGAATAGCAATTATTATTCCAATAAGAATCAATATAAGTATAACAATAACAACGATTGTTTGACGATTAATAGAATATTTTCCACTTTTTCTAAATAAAAATCATCGAAATATTTCAAAAGAAATAAAATTTTTATAAATATGTAAATACTCAGCCATTGAATTCTTCGTTATTGTTTAATATTGAACGTTCTTATTTAAGCAATTCTCTTAAATAAATGTTAATTATAGAAAAATTTATGTAAAAAAGAATCTTGTTTTTCTTTCGCTAGCTCTACATCAAATATTTGTTTTCTTTTCTTTCTCATTATTAATCGTCAATATATGTGCAATCAAGCAGAACCATATATGATTCTTACCTTTTTTTTTCTTTTGATCATATGAGTTACATTGGAAAGATATTTTTTTTTACTTTATTTACGCATTATTTATTAACCAACAAATGAGAGTAGAAGATCTACCGAATATCATACTCGTTTTTTTTCTTTTATATCTTCAAAAACAAAGAAAGACAACCAAAACATTGATTGATTGAAGATATTCAGTGACGGCGTGACCGAGGAATATTACCCACCCGATTAGGTTCCGTTTCGTCGGAAGTCTAATTGATTTTCCCGTTTCGTTGAAAATGAAAAAACAACTGTCCCGGCTTCGCCGAAAAAATAAATTCTGCTTAATCAACGAAGAATAAATTATATCATTTGATGAGATTTTTCATCATACTAATCGGGAATAGTGCCTAATTACTTGTACATAAGTTTGTCCAAAAAAAGCTTTATTACAGAGCAGATTTAGATAAATAAATAATAAATTATTAGGAGAAAATATAAATATAGAAAAGAAAAAAACCAATACTTTTTTATTCCAATTAATCCCAGAAATTTTTCAAGAAATTTATTCAACGTTGATGTTTGTTGTTTAAAACGTTCGTTTAATTTATGTAATCGTACATTTCGATTTACAAATAACTTTTTTCGTGGAGGTAATATACCAGTTGCTAAAAGAAATGATGAGAGTGAATGTGAATGTAAAGAAGAAAACATCCACATCCATCCACAACACCCATGAACGATTTTCACATTTCCAATAAACAGTTGTAATTAAAATTTGAGTTTGTGTGTAGCGAAAAGTATCAAGTATTAAATTTGGTATATTACGTTTACTTTCAACAATAGATAGCATCATTTTGTGTAATAATGAATGAATATAGAAAAAAAAATTGAATTTTCCCCTTTTCTCCGCATATTTATACTTTTTCAAAAATACAGATTACTAGTATAGGTATATCAATTAGTTTCTTTTTAAGGAAATAGTTTAAGTCAATCAAACAAATTTAGCTTATAACTCTGGTTATACTATTTTTCATGACAGTTTAATTTTTCGACGAAACGGGAATCCATCTACCCACCCCTCTCTGCTCAGAAAAATTTGGGAGGACTTTTCTACGGATTTGAAAATTTTCGTGGATCGATTTTATTCGACTTTTGAAGTGACCCGTCCGGCACTGATCCGTTGACGCTGCACCTGAATATATTTATTCGCCAAAAAATTTAAATAAAAAATAATCAATTTTCTAATTGTTTCTATCGTTTTCAAAACAAATATTCCAAAAATGTTTTTTTATGGATTAAAATTTGTTGTAAAATATTTTATAATAAATCAAATAAAATGAAAATATTTCAAAAATAAGCAACGATGATTTAACACAAACTAAAATGAATATCAAATGGTAGGATTGCTTTCTTAAACAATAAAAATCAATACTTGTTAATCTAATATCTGTCATCTGTCAATAATCTATATACATTATTATGATTGTTATTTCATCGTTTTATCTATTATTTAGACCATTTTATGTCGAACTCCATTGCACTCGAAGTAACATCAATCTTATTTTGTGTATTATTAACCCTTAAAAGTCGAAAAGCTTTATCGTCACAAATTTAAAAAACTTACCACTAAAATAGAACTTCGGAAGCCTCAATAAAAATAATTGACAGTAAAAAAAAAATTCTCTTATGGAGATATAGAATGTCCCTTGAAAGGGACATTTGGTCTTAACGCTCCAAATTTCTCAATTTTCTAAATATATGTAACGAAAGTATTTTCACATGAATCACTTTGTTTATTTTGTTGGAGACACAATAAATTAATAAAAACTAATACTTTCAATAGTTTTTCTACAAAAAAAAAATCAAGACACATATTTTGAATCAGACGACTGCCGGAGCTATTTCTAATAGCTACAGGGACTCTATGCTAATGATAGTAGAAGAAGGCGCTCCTAGGCTCCCAGTAGCCAACTTGTTCCATTCTTAGACTAGTCTCCTACCTTATGTGACACAAAAATCCTCATGGCTAACGAAAAAGATCAAGAAAAATGTGTAAATACACGAAAATCAGTTATTTTTGCTAGATGGAATGTTCAATCGTGTTTCCAACGTGCAAAGAAAGAATTAATCGTGGACCAACTGAAGAAGTACAATGTACAAATAGCCGCATTAAGCGAATGTGAAATGTTTGATTCGGGTTTATTATATGTCGACAACTACATATTCATTCATTCTGACGCAAGCGCCGGAAACAAAACTCGGAAAGCCCACGGAGTTGCAATATGTCTTAATAAAAATGCAACGAAAATATGAAAAACATTTGGATCAATATGGAAAGCCATCAATTCAAGAATAGTCACTATTCGTTTGAAATGCAAGCTTATCAACATCACAGTTATCGCATTAATATATGCTCCAGTAAATCGTACCAAAAGTCAAGAAGAAGAAGATCTATCCGAAAAATTCTACAACGATCTACAGCAAGTCGTCAATGACACTTCTAAGAATGACATGCTGTTGATCATTGGAGACTTCAATGCAAGAGTTCATGCAAACAAAAACATGATTAGCGGTCCGCTTGGACCCTATTCGGTGGATAAAATGAACGAAAATGGAGAACCATTTGTCGACTTTTTCTTGTTGAACGATCTTATCACTACCAACACATTTTACCAACATAAAAAAAAACATCAATGCGCATGGATGCGTCCCGATAACAAGCAATCGCACATGCTAGATTATGTGATCATCAATAGGAAATTTATATATAACGTACACGACGTAAGAGTTCATCGAAATGCGGCTGGTGCTATTGATACAGATCATCATCTACTAAGTGCCAAGATCAAATTACATCTTAGAAGCCGGAAAAAACATCAACGCCCAAAACGATCAACGTATGAAACTCAAAAACTTCAGGACAAACATTTGGTGGAGAATTTTCAACGAGAACTGGAACAGAAGAGAATGGATTCATTTAAAGAGAACCAGATAATTGATGACAAGTACAAACACTTCATCAAACATGTCCAAGAGACCGGCAACCAATATTTCACACAAGATCCAAACAAGCAACAATATAAAAGGTGGATGACCGACGAAATTAAAGAACCTATCAATCAAAAAGCAAAATCCTACATAGATTGGCAAAATCGTATTGTCAATACTATGGAAAACACGTATCAAAAACGATATCGGAGCATCACGAAACTAGTCAAGAAAAAAGTAAAACTGCGCTAAGTGGAATATTGAGATGAAGTCAGTCAGAAGATGGAAGATGCACTCAAACAACATGATCCATCAACAGCGTATGCTATGATAAGACGCCTACGCGATCAAAACAAACAAAATGTCCATATGCCAACTAAAGATAATCACCTGTTAACAACAGCTACAGAACGACTAAACCGATGGTGAGAACATTTTTCCGAACTATTCAACGTATCGACCAGCGTGACCCTGAAGCTCATTCAAGAAATCTCGGCACCCATTACTAACCCAGCCGAAGAGAAGCGACGAGAAAAATTCTAACACTACAAGAAGTGGATGAAGTTATTAAACAAATGAAAAACCATACAGCACCAGGTAAGGATAATTTAACAGTAGAAATTCTTAAAGCAGGAGGAATGACAACGACGAAATGACTACATGAAATAATATGCGATATATGGAAAGAAGAAGTAATGGTTGAAGACTGAACACTGACGACATTGATTCGACTATACAAGGGTAGGGTGATAAACAAATATGTGATAATTATCGTGGCGTATCATTACTAATGATGACAAGCAAAATATTCTCCCGAATCATCCTAAACCGAACTCAATCACTACTTAACAAACAACTTCTCGTAAACCAAGCTGGCTTTCGACCAAAACGATCAACTATAGACCAGATCTTTACATTAAAAATAGTCATACAAAAATCGCGAGAGTTGAACAAATTACTATATATATGCTTCATCGACCTGTTCAAAGCATATGATTCGGTCAATCGTCAATTACTTTGGAAAATCTGTCGTCATGACGAACTGACAGAAAAAATTATCAAAATGCTGCAGCTTCTGTTCAATAATACAAGAGCTCATGTATTGGATGAGAAGAATTTATAGCTTTCGAAATTGAAACAGGTGTGAAACAAGCAGAAATGGAATCGCCTATCTTGCTCAATATTGTACTCGACTTCATTATTATAGAAGTACTAAAAGAAACAAAAACGAATGGTGTCCAATTAAAATATGGTCATTATTGTCTCGGCGCCAACCGAGATCAACACAAATTAGCCCCCCCCCCAC